TTTTCGAGTCAATAAATATATGACGATTCATCATTTGTCGGCAACTATTTCATTTATACTACACGAAGTTTAGAAGTGTAAAAATCATGATTAATGTTATTCTCCTCTTACGAACGTCATAGTCATCCGAGGATCAATTGGTTAGACAATTGTCACTTCGTACATTTTATTAACACGTTGATACATTCCACACAATCAAGATAATGTAAAAAAAATTTGCATTCTTAAACAGTATATAACTATATATTTTATTTTAAACAAAGTAATTAAATAACCTAATTTATTTTGTTCAAATTTCATAAATATCAAATATATTTTAACGAGAAGATATGGTATGATATGATACGATCTTTCGCGAAAACAGAATTATAATTATTAACATCTCGAATAAACTACAATTTTTTAAAATTATTTTTTTATTTAGGGCATTGCCTTCAAAGCGATACAGTTTTAACTTTTAACACAATACACAAATATATTTTATATTATTTTATATAACAATAGTTTACATTTAAACATGTTTTTCTGGGTTATCGAATTACGAATGCTTCAGCTGTTATGCATACTTATAATTTGATAAGCGCATTCTTTCGTTTAAATAGCTATTGCGGAAGCTAAGTTTAGTTGCACCACACACGAAGACTTTTTTTATAGAATGTTTTAAAAAATCAGAATATTTAATAAAACTTATAGATCTAGAAATTAATTAAAAACTAATTACAATATACTTATTGTTTTATAGATAGATTTAGTATATTTACAATAATTTTTATTTAAAAAATCGATTTTCAAAAATTATAGCACGATCAACACATTATGCGTCAGCAAACACATTGTAACGTCAGTGACATGTCATTATAATAAATTAGCATCTGGCATACATAACATTTTTCCTTTCTTATTCTAATGCCCGTATCACAGTCAGACTTTATACTTAAGGCTTCCTTAAATTTATTTTTAAATACTCAATGACCATTGAAATAATTCGTAGATCTAAAGATAAATTTAAGGAAGCCTTAAATATAAAGCCTGACTATGAATATGGGCCTAAGACTGCAAGCATAATAATAAAGATAAAAATATTTTCTCGATATTATAAAGTAAGCTAATAATCTGCTTTATATCTATCTTTGGATTTATTAATTAACAATTAAAAGTTTTACACAAAGTATAAAAATGTATTTAACGGTTTAAAAAATTATAATAATTATTAACACAATATGGGGACAAGTAGGAAGTAATAAAGACAAATATCACTTTATAGTTTCCTCAATATTCATATCGGTCTATCAGAAGCACTCATTAGATATTTGTTGTTGCGAATGCAGAAGTAATTAATTATTTAGATTTACACGCGCACTAAAATAAAATCATCGAAGTATGATATGCACAAAACAATTTGCAAGCAATTGATTTTCGCGCTAACGAAGCTCTCGCAGTTCGTCGGATATCCACTAGATGGTCAGATTTCCTGCACTAATACATTCAAATGCAGCTGTAACGCGACAAATTTTTGAAGAGCGTGCGAAATAACAGTCAGTATACCGATCGTGACGGCGATGAATGTATTCGTACCTCACACTTGGCGATTTTCGCGAGGAGCGCCATGCTTTCAGTTAACACGTTCGACAGAGCAGCTTGTGTGGAACTGAATGATTCGTATCGAAAAAATGGCCTTGCATTTAACCGACGTGGCACATGATGTTTTCCGACAAGATAGTACATGTTTGTTTAGAACGTCTTGCGCGATCGATATCTTTGTAGTGCGATGAGTCGAACCTAATGACTCGAATCGCTTGAAGAAAAGTGGCTAAAAATTATCGATCTAATAAACATTTTAGTTGACCAAACAATTAGTTTGCAATATGATTTTATATCAATTAATTTTTATTTAACAAGAAATTAGCGATAAAATTATTTATTAATTTGCAGATACTTATTTTATTACTGCAGACTTTAGATATGATAGATTTAAAACAACCATCTTTAGAAATTTATTTCTGTTTTAAAAAAATATTCAAAAATGTATAGTTTAATATATAAAATTTAAATATAGCCAAAAAATGCTAATGTTAAAAGGAAAAAGAAAATGCTATAAAGTGATATATCCAAATAGAAGAAGCTCAAAAATTATTAAAACTAACATTTTATTAATAAATTTATGGAAAACGTTTTTCTAAAAGAATTGTTAAATTATAAACTCATTCACAAAATTAGCTTTATTTTTTATTGTAGTATTACAGTTGATAAATATATAATTCATTTTTTGTATATAATTTTAATTTAAAAAATGTTTTGTAAACAATTAATATAAATCTAAATGTGACTTATTTAAGTATTATCTTTATCGGTTAAGATGGAATCCTATAAAGACCAGCTGTTGGAAACTTAATGGCAATATCTACACAAAGCAGACGTTACTGGACTTTTATTCGGTGTCTTAGATGTCGCTGTCATGTTGCATTGGACAGCTAATGAAAATGCACAAAAAAAATTTTTATAAATTATTTAATTTTATTACATACTTTAATTAATTTGTAATTTCAGACGCATATTCAAAATGCAATTGGATTTAACTAAAACTACGATTAATTCAGTTTTAATATTTTATATATAAAATAATGAATTATAAAAATATATATATATATATATATTCAACCAATAGAAAATAAAGCCCATAACGATCAAAGCTGGATCTTTAGTGCTTAAATAATTTAGCGTGAATTTATATATTTTAATATTTTATAAAAATGTTACAACAAGAGATGTTAAAAGAAAAGATTTTAACGTTTTATTAACTATGAATTATAATATATCATAAAATTATGTTTAATACTCATATGTTATTTCTAACAAAACACTGAGAGAAGTAACACATAATTTTTCTATTATTAACTTATATTATTAATTGAGCTTTAGAATGCAAGCGATATCTTACATGTTTACATGATTATATATTGAATAAAAAATTATATAATATACACATTATAAAATATATTATATACAATAGATTACACCTCTCAAGCAAGAAAATAATTTATTGTTAGAATAGCTTTAAAAATATTGTCATATAAAAAGAGTTTAAAAATAAAATAATTTACAAACCTCATAAGATTTAAATACTTACGTGATATTTTATTGTCGACTTTTTTGCGAAGATCTTCGAGATCCACATGTCAAAATGATTGATTAAGATGAGAGTAAAAATATTGTAAACAATACTTTTTTGTCCACGTTCGCGTTAAATTATGCGATCAACAGTGCGTGTTTGGAGTATTGAAGGCAAAAACTGAGGTAACTATTGCCGGTCGTACACGTCATGTGATTATATGGGACTTGATTGGCGGACAATCATTGGAGGCAATGAAGTCCTACCCGTTATGCTAAAGTAGATACTCCGCTCGACTGTCTACTTGTACACATGCATGATTTCTAGATCACGTCGGCATGCGGTGTAATGTGTAAGGAAAGTGAAATGCCCTGAAAACCCATCTTGCAAACACAAACTATGCATTTCTCGTTAGTAATAATTAAATTTAGTCGTAAAACTCGTTGTTAGAAATTATGAATCAGATTACAATTAAGCAATTTTTAACTTTCTAGATTTCCTTTGTAGATCTCTTCTCTAATTCTGTTTATTGTAGAAATATTTACTTATATTTCTACAGATTTCGTACAATCTTAAAAGTTACATTTTTATTATTTTTAAAGGCATCGATAATTTATATATATTATAAATAATAATATAGGTACTATATTGAATTAACAATAACAAATTTTAAAATTTAAGTCATGCACTAAATAATTAATTAAATTTATTATTTAATTTACTTAAAATAATTATTTAATTAATTTAAAATCATATTTAATCTTTTTAAATAACAATCTCTTAAAAATTTGTAGTTGTAAACTTACACTGAAAGAAAATTGGAAATGTTTTTAAATTATAATATAGAGAAATATATAATAATTATATAAAAAAGTTTATAGAATAAAATTTGATACGCACATAAATTAAAATATTATTAACGATTATATGCATAGCAGAGATTAGATTTAAACAGTAGTAAATTATGTAAGAATACCGCAGTACGAAGAGGAGTGTAAAATATCTATTATTATCTTTTCATTCAAATGGAATGTTGACGAAGAAAAACAGAACGTGTGTGAAACGTTAACTGTGTAAAACTGTTCGTTAAACTTTGTCCCCGCAAAGAGAGGATTAATTATATCTTCAATAAAATCTATAGTTTTTCTGAAGCAGCCAAATGCCTCGTTTAATGCACGAGCGGCCACTTACAATGAATTACACATTGAATTGCCATTAAATACTTGATCACCGCAACTTATAGATCGCAAATACCAGATAATCGCGTACAAAGTTAGAACTACTATGCTTCCTGCTCCGAAACGATTTCGAATGCACGCTCCGTTCGTCTCGTAGCCGCAGCTGCCGATGGAATAATAAAAAGTGAAAACCATTGACGAAATATGTGTTTCTTGTAAACGGGAGTCGGTCTGTCAGGTCGCGTGTGACATAACGGCGACGATAATCTCTTCGACGCCAATCGCCGCGAGCGAAACGGCACATACACGGTTGTTTTCCACGCGTCATTATTGCGTTTTGCTTTGCCGAGAATAATGCCGAACCCATTAGAGTCCTCTAATCAAACTACTTTATCAAATTGGATATTGTCAGAATAACAAATTATTTAACGTATCACGTTAATCTTCTTAGTGTTGTTCTCACGATTTTGTGTGACTGTGACTGATATACATGCATGCATCTAGCAGAACGTATTGATTTATCAATTAATATTTCTAATCTTCCAAGTAAATTCTCTCTGACTCCCTATGGCGAAAATAATTTTATAATAATTCATTACACGACGAAGATAATTTTTTTTAGATACAACATTTTTTTTTAAATCTGTCATTATATATATATAATTAATATAGCTACGTTTACATCATGCATTTAGGCCTACTCAACAGATATCCTTGTTTACCCTATAGGTTAAATAAAGACACTTATCGTATAGGTCGCGAACTAAGCGCACGGTCTAAACGTAGCCATTGATAATGTCTGACAACTTAAATAAATAAATTAATATTTATGTTACATTGATATTTATGATATTTGAAAAATAATGAGATTTTTATTATTATATACATATTTATACCCATATGAGATAAATTAAACTGATTTTTATCAGACATTGCAATGGAAACTTAACTTTATTCTGTATTTTCGTAAGAAATAGGATAGTAAAGGTTGGCAAATAATCTTTCAACCAAAGTAAAAAATATTTGCGGATAGAATTAACGTATTTTAACGAACATTAATATTCATACAGAAAATTTTACGACGGATGCTAACATATCTACTTCTACCTACTTGGTATGAGAGTTTTCTGAGCTGAGTTGTGTAAAGATTATGTTATCGGACTGGCAAAGGATATCGTAACGCTGTTTTGTAACACGCTGTTCGACACACTGAATATTAAGTCAGCAGTACAACACGAACAATTTTGTGGTTAAACAACCTAAGAATCGCCGCTACTGTTTTGTGAATTAAAAAAATTTCAATATGCAAAAAAACAGAATCGTTGTTTATCTACATAAAGATTAAAATTAGAATAAATATTCTTCACGTTTAGGTTTATAGTGTTATAATATTTAATAGTCAATAACGTTTCTGATATAATGTACCTACAATAAAAAGAATTAATTTTCGTATTATATTTTTATTTATAATTAGAAAAGAATTTTGTTGCTCTTAATTCAGAATAAAATTAAAAGTAATGGCAAATGGAAAGTAAAACTGTGGTTATTTTATAATCCAATTATAAAATGTGCTACTTGTTTAGATAAATAATTAAAAACAACATAATATGATATTGAATAATTTTAGTAAGATTGAAACATGCATAGAAGTCAGAGAGATAAATATAATCGTCTATGTTAAAATATAAATCACATTTTCACATGTACATACATATATTCTCATCATGAAAACATACATCAACTGTATTTGCAGTGATTATGTTAATTAGTAACGGAAAATGAACAGAAATACAAATTGGTACAACGCAAGGTTGGCGCTGTTGCCATCTAAACAGCATTTCCTCCTTGACTCATGTATGTATCCGTTACTTTACATACGCCTACGTCTAGAACGGAGTCACGTGTTCGATTTGAGTGAAATCGTATACCGAGATCGACGGGCAAAATAAACTTTCAAGATTAATATTCGTGTTTCATAATTTTTATTCTCGCTAAATTGATAACAGTTATTTTTCTATGTATTTTTTTTACAGAAGACATTATTTTTTTTATGACATACGCGTGCAATAATTAATAGCAAAATGCAAATTATGTTATTACTCTTTCGAATATATCTGCGATAAAATTATAACACATAAAGTTACACACAGTAGTATAATTAAAAAATAAATAAAAACTTTATTTATTTTTAAATAACATTGCAGTTGTTATTTTAAACAATTTTTTTTCATCAGATTAAGAAGAAAGAGATAAAAACATAATATCTGACAAATTTAGAAAAACATAATTATATCTTACGTGAAAATTTTAATGCACCATAATATTTTTGTACATGTCAGCACGATGCAATCTTATTTTTATTAAGTTTTTATTTATTCTACTTATTTTTTACTTATTATGTACGTTTATTTATTACTTATATTATTATTCCGGTCGACTATTCGATTAAAAACTGAATGAAATTTATATTCTTCGATTTCAATTAAAACATTGACCGCCGAACATCTTACGAATGAAATAAAGATTATTTGGAGCTCAGGTTTTGATTCTAGGACAGTTCCATGAAGAGACAGATGTGAAAGTTCATCTATCCCAGACAAAGTTAGAAAGTTCTTTTCGTCCCTTTTCCAAGCCAGGGACACTCACGTACACACTAGTTCATGACTTGTATATACATTATATTTACGGGTTATCTACGTTTATGCGTGAGTACTTACAATTCATATTAATGTTTCGCTAGTCGCACGATTAGAAATCACGTACGTACGCACGTGTGCGATCGAATAACGTGTACGTAGGTCGTCGACACGTGCGATCCAATTGTCCACAAGAAATAATTTGAATAATATGCTGCGATCGCACAGAGAACTATTTGAAAGAGCGGTTGCAGGATGTTATGACGTTATATCTAATACGTCGCGTTTCATATTTCTGTGATTAAATTTCAAATCGCATTTTTTTAGTAAGAATAGGTATACTTTATCAAATATATGATCCCTTTGTTCTCTATTTTCTCAAGTATCATTGCAGAAGAAAATACGAAGAAGTACATCCTACTCGGATACTCGCATATTCGATCTATCATAAAATAAATGGGATACGTCGGGGTTTCGCTCGAAAAATAATGAAAAACACACAATATAATTTTATTCTACTTAAGTTTTTGCAATAAAAAAAGGGAAAGAAGCAACCCATTTCACAACTATTGTATTTTGCATAATCCTGCATTATTTTAACGTTCATTATTTTTTTGACAGTTTTTAAACGTACTTTAGAAAGAACGATTTTGTTGAAAAATCTGAAATTTTGCTAGCTATTGATTTGAAAATAATTTTGTTTGACTAAAGTAATTATATTGGAAACTGAAAAATAATGAACAATGCTGTAAAAAATTTTGATATACTAGCAAAGAATTTGAGTTTTCAACATAATTATAGATGATCCATTGATGAAAAAAAAAATGTGAAAAAATTATTTAGTAAAATTTTCGATCTTTCAGCAAAATCATCCTTTCCGTGTAGAACATAATTTTCCTCGTAATGGCGAAAGAACTTAATATGTGGGAACATTATAAAGTTTTATGCAGTCCCGCGCATGTATTAATTACACAAATGGACACGTGCACGTGCACGTAGGAGGACTCCTGCGTCGCGTGTTCGCGGACAGGACACGAAAACGTTTTGCATCGCTCACGCGTAACATCGACTTTAATATTCAGCGCGACGAAACGGCCCGATTACGAAACCTACGTTGCAAGATACTCCGATAATAATGCACGTGGGTAAAGTGCGCGACATGCTATAAGACGACACCGGCCCGAGGACGGCGAGCAATTTCGAAATTTTGGAGCGAGAAGCTGCGACACGCACGTCCGTTACAATGCGTCGCAGGTGCGTTTCCGAGACACGGCCATCTCGTGCCATGTCGTACCGATTCGCGATGCCAATCGTTCGTTTCCCTTGATCGAGAAAGCGTTTCATGTCGCAATGCCTGTATTCGATTCTGTGCCCAGCCGTTCGAAGTGCCAGTTTCTACGTGACAATTTCGGCAGATTCGTAATCTGTTTTAACTGTTGCTACAAATATTCAAGAAATATAAAACGGTACCCATCTTGCGTGTGTGAAAATAAACGCTGGAGTATAAATCGAAAATATGTGCACTCGATTCGAGTTAGTTTTAATATGCAACTCGACGAAGCGATTTAATGATCTTGTAAAGCTAGTGACGTAGAAAAACAACGAACTCGTCCGTGACGTATGAAACGTGTCTGCGACGTTTACACGGTCCGTGAAAGATTCTCGAGATTCTTGGCAATCGTCCAAACACAATGAGAGTTAAAAGTCGTTCTTTCTCTCGCGAGCGTGCTGTTGGCGACAAGAAATTTGCAAGTTCAATTCGTCGCCGTCGTTGACCTGAGCCTTCGGTTACCCCAGGTCATTATGAAAATAATTATTAATTATTAGAGTTGCCGCACAGATAATTTTGCACAAAGATTTATAGTTACGTAATTGATTATTTTAATAAAAAAGTACACGAAATGTGTATGAATCATTTTTATTATACGTTTTATTACATTGAGAGAAAAAAATATTTGATATTTGTACAATTGCATGGTAAAATAATTAAAAGCTTTATTTTTACTGCTTTATTTCTGATATAATGTTAAAAATAATAATTATATTTATAGTTCTAATAACAAAAATATAATTTGTATCGAAAATGATATATAAATGATACATAAATTAATATAATTAAATTATTATAATTGCAACCATTGTTTTCTCTCAATGTAGATCATTTATTTGCATTATCGACGTTTTTATTTAAGTTTTTCTCAGTCATTTATTGATACAAGATTATTGTTATCAAACTCCAATAATCTAAAGATTATATTGATTACTTATATTAAAGATATTAATTGCTCCCTCTCTTTGCAATTCATTTGTTAATGCAATATAGATAATTGACTTTATTTTACGTATTAAAAATTTAATTGTAAAAAATAAAGAGAACATCTTAATCATATTTACACAAGAAATACATCTTCATCTCTCTCTATTTTCATTTTTTTTAAATATAAATTCTTCCTACTTTTGTGCCATGTGATTTGGATCCCAGAAACTTGGATTAAATATTTACAAAATAAAATTGTATTTACACTTATGTGTATTAGACAGTTAAATTTAGCTCATGGGCTTTACTCATTTAAAATAGCTTGGCTTTCAACTCCGATTGTAAGCAGAAAAGATTACCTTGCAGATACGTAATTATAGAAACGTAGAAATATTAAAACGTAATTATTTCTCTAATTTGTGATGCTGAAACACGTGGTAGCTAGCTTATCTGCGTTGCTAAATATTTTTAGAATGCGGAACAGGGAAACCGGCCTCAAGGTCATCACGACGACTGGCGAACCCGCCGCGAGGAACGCAACCTCCATGACGCGCGACTGGCACCTTTTGGAGAACGATCAAGGAACGTCCCCGACTGGTATCCCCAGTGAACACCGCCACTGACTTTTATTATGTTTCCTACGTTCGCTTATACACAACCGCGGCCTCGCCTTAATCCCCACTCAGTGAGGCTCCGTCTTCCGGGGTCCGGTTGACCCCGCCGTGTACAGCCGATTTATAGCAGTCGCAATCAACGAGCTAGCCTAGCGGCTCCCCCCCCCCTTTTCCTTTTTTTAAGCGTCGACTTTTGCATTTTCGAATTCTTTTTGTCTTGGACGAGATGCGACCTCGGATGGAAGCTATGCAGACGAATTCACGATCTTATCTCCGTGTGTATCTTATCTTCCATTTAATTACGCGAAAACAGCACCGCCTATCTACCGGCATCTGCGAGATCTGTAAAAGCTTGTAGTGTCTTTTAATTACAATATTATTATCGATATATTGTCGCTACTGAAATATTTTTTTTAATTTTAAGTCGAAGGAATAAATATCGGGAAGAACGCGCGCGGAAAATTTCAATTAAAATTTTGGCATTCGTTTCTACACAGTAAAAAAGAAAATGTTAATTTTAACATTTTTTACATGTCCCAGGAGATCCACTCTAAATTTTAAGTTAAAGTAACTCATTCGTCTTGTGTTATTTATTAACGAACTAGTAATGTTAAATAATTGACACAATACTTTACATTTATATTTGTTATTTTGACTTTAGGGATGATTTAAAACTAATATATAAAATAAGTAGAGTATATAGATATATGTGAATGAAAACATTCTTAGATGTTAAATTGACTTTGAGATATATAGATTAATTGAAACAATTGTGTTAAAAACACTCAAAATAAAATTCCATTTTTAATTGACATACGCAATTGTTAAGTTAGAAAGGTGACATGAATCTAACACATCAAAATATTACAAAAATAATAACATATCAGTTGTACGTTGATGTTACATTGAAGTTATAATCAAAATGTGGTAACACAAGAAAAATTCTACATATGGACGCACGATCTTTTACTGTGTAAACTAGTCAAATTCATGTGCATAAAGCGTATGTATATAAAGTAACTTTCGAATAGCATAAAAAGTATAATAAAAAATGAAACTCGTATGGTATATAAATTTATCTCGGTGCATTATTGTAGCACGATGCAATAAATATCGATAGCGAATGCTTGTTAGCCATAAATCACGAGGTAACAATGAACGCATAGATAGTCTTCCGGTACCAAGTGTGCCGCACAAAGCCGATTTACAGTGCCAATTACGTAGCGTTTCAAACTAATTGAAGCGTGCAGATTGATATGTGATATTCATTGCGCAATTAATACAGCCACAATACTTAAAACGAAAATGTCACCTATTGATATTAATGGCTGAACTTTCTCAATAATCATATATTTACACACGCAGTTAACGAGCTAATGTGAAACATATAAATAGATGCTATAAATGCACTTTGAGAATAGGATCATCAACGTCAGTACACATGTTAAGAGAATCGGAGTATTTACAATTATAATAGCAGCTCGATCAACCGCTATATTTTGACGCGTTCGAGCAGATCAGATTCATACCCATTAATTTTACAAAGCGTAGTTAAACGCGTCAAAAATCAATTCAATAGCTGGCCTTCTGTAAGAGATTAAACCACTTTGTGCACGCCATATATGGACGCGGAAGAAATTACACTTCAATCGAGAACATACGGGCGAGGCTGAAGTTTCGCACGTGGATCGATCATGTTGTTTAGTTCGCAGCCTTATTGTATTTTTAGCTTTCTACGAGTGCGTATACGCGGATCTACTTTTCCAACTATCGTAACGCCCACACGTGTTTCTTGCCTGAGAAATACTCGCGGCTTCACGCGTTTTGCTACTCGAATGAGATATCTCCGTTTTAGGAAAATTATTTCGCGATAAAAATATTCGCAGGGAAAAATACTGGACAATACATATATTCAGGTATTCAATAATTAGACAGCCGGACAAAAAAATTTTGTTATTTTCTGTAATTAATATTATTAATAAAATTATAATTATACCAACTAATTTATAAATAAATAAATTGTAAATATATTTTAATTAATATATTTTTCGTTAAAAAAGGAATTTACACGAGCATCTTCTTCTTAAACACGTAAAGTAATACTTTTAGAATTGAAAATCAATTTATCAGAGTAAATTAGTTAATAGATATATCTAAAAAAATTAATTTCTTTCATACTTATGTTTTTATTTACGTTTTCTTTTTATAGAAACCAAAATTCTTACAATCTGTGTAAATATTCTCAAATCAATGATCGTAATACATCAATATTCCATTTAAGTTAAGTACACTTAAGCTGTTTATATTATTAACACAATGGCCATATAAAATGAGAGATAATGAGAATAAGAACAAAACCTACTAACGAAGTCACTTCAACTTCTGCAAACTAAGTGACTCATTTCTGATTCTTCATTTACACGCGATTCGCATTATACGCGGTAGGAAGCGTAATTATAGTCTTCCTGGGAGCCTACAAATTCGCACACGCTCGCCTAGCGTTCCCGAACGTTGTAAAGTTGTAACGTTCCTATTCCGATCAGGTAAGAAACGTCGGCACGCACTAGGCCTCCGCGAAGGCGCCGGGATATTTCATTTTATCTCCAACGTAATATCAACTGTAAATAAAATTTTATCTTGGCAGATGCTTTACGTACGAGCAATATATTTTATCTGGCGTTCAAGGGCAAATACTTACCCTCCGAAAAGATGAACGAAGTGTATTTTATCTCACAGAAAGAATGGTTTTACCGAAGTAGGTAAAAATTTAGCTAGATAACATATCTGAAAATAATATATTACTCAAACTGGTTGCTGGAATGTCAAAAACTTCTTGCATTGACGATTATACTTGAATTTCCTACATAATTATTTTGATGAGACAACAAATTTATTTTTAGATCTAGCTAAATATTTAAATCATTCTTTTCGTACAATGAAGGACGGGTTTTAAATTGATTGTAATTATATGATTATCAATCTATAGTTTTTGTTGTAATATCTTGAATTTATTATACGAAGACTTCAAATGCGACTCCCCACAATTGCAGACCACAAAGATTTTTCAATGGTGTAAGAGTGAGTTTACATCAACAAGGCGCCCGCTACCGCAAAGTGTTAACCGTTTTTGTGAGTTTGCGGCTAAACGCGAAGCTGGCGAACTCTTTTCCTGTGCCATGCCTGTCGCGAAATACGATCTTACGTGCTCCCCTATCGCCCGGTGGATTTCACGCCATGAAATTCCCCATCGTGCGTACGTAATTCCGCACGTACGCACGCACGTAAGCGGCGGTGCACTGCCGTTGTTTGCCCACGCATGTTGAGACTTTTTCTCGCTATGGTGCACGATATAACTCTGGCTTGCGCAGCACACGCCGAGGAAGTACTTGGCGAGCCTGAGGTTTTGCTCTTGCGCGATTTTCTTTTCAAACGCTACTGTAAGGTATACACCTCGATCTTTCAGCCCCGTCGTTTTCCACTAGCATTATTATCTTCTCTTCTTGCCGATCTTTTCAAACTTTTGCGTTCGTATTCCACGCATACGATGGCCATTTTAAAACACTTGTGTTTGTATCTTATTTCGAAATACTTTTCGAAGTTATCCGAAAGCTCCCTTACTTTAAAAATGATACAGCTCACACACAAAATTAAATTTCCCAGAAAAGGAGAAAAATTAATTTTTATTTTGACAAAAATTATTGATTAATTAAATAATATCGATAACAAAAATATTGTCTTAACGTAATCAAATATCATTTTAATAAAGTACAATTAATAGACGTTTCGGTCTTCAATGAGACCTTCTTCAGTATTCATATAAATTAAAAGTAATACGCATAATTATAACAAAATTGAAGACTTAAAATTAGATTCTTAACAAGTATCAGTATTATTTTTTTGCTATTACAACAATTTGTCAATACTTTACTCGCAAAAGTTTTTTTTCCTCCCTCTCTTCTCTTTCCTTACTAGATGTGAATTTTATTCTCCTTTAAACGCAATAGTTCCTGCCTTAAAGGAGAATAAAATTCACATCTAGTAAGGAAAGAGAAGAGAGAGAGGAAAAAAAACTTTTGCGAGTAAAGTATTGACGAATTGTTGTAATAGCAAAAAAATAATACTGATACTTGTTAAGAATCTAATTTTAAGTCTTCAATTTTGTTATAATTATGCGTATTACTTTTAATTTATATGAATACTGAAGAAGGTCTCATTGAAGGCCGAAACGTCTATTAATTGTACTTTATTAAATATAATAATTTTAAGCCAACGATATCAGGCGTTCGTGGTCATATGCCTTTATAATTATATTGTTTTACGTTCGTATTACATTCGTATCACGTATCTATCCTATATTGTTCAAATACCATTTTTGTTTTATGATTCTTAAAAATACTGTCATTCTTTGAATTAAGAAATTTGTTCTTTTGAAGTAAGAAAGCGATATATACACTATATTATGCAACTATAATTTATCACGTATAGGTAATATTAGATAGTAAATAGACTTGGTGCACTAAGAGAAAAAATATCTTGATACAAAAAAAATTTATTTAACACGAGAAAACTATTTATTCGTTGGGTTCTAATAGCTTATTTTTTGTAACAAGATACTTTTTTCTCAGTGTATTAAAAAATGCATCATCTAAAAGTGTTTTCGCTGTCGAAAATAACAACCAAAATAATAGAATCAAAATTTTCATTTTCCCGACTTTCAGTAGTTCTAAAATAGGCGCAATAAGCCGACCACGTCGACGGAGTCGACTGTCTAGAAGAAGCAGGGTCTGTACCACGATAATTGCTTAATTACCTCCTCGTTATTGTGTGCTTCTACTTGCTCCGATCGTCCAATTAAACTCCACCAACCCGAACTTTAATCGTCTCGATTCCCGCCATCGTGTGCGGGAGCGTGTAAACGCGAGGTCTAAAAAGCGTCGGCGCGCTGGCAAGCTCGTAAATGTCAGTGACAATAGCGTTTAGCGTGCAAAACGCTGGAATCGAGAGCGGCCCTTGACATCCAATTCTCATTCTCCGTGTAATTAACGTGCACGCCGCTCCATCGAGATGCATCGCTCGCGTTTCCGCACAAAACCTAATTCCGCAGTAAATCAAACAATAAGAGAAATTTTTATCCGTACAAAAACTTCGTAAAAACATGACAAATACTAAAAATTATATTACCAATGTTATTTGGTAATTAACCCTAACTTATTCTTGTAGGTTTTTTTTACCATAGTTACTAACGTGGAGTATTTTTGATATCCCAATATTATGGTATGTCTCGATTTTTATTGTTTTATTTGATAATTTACAATTAAATAAAAATAATATTTTATGTATTTTTTAGATAAAGGTGCACATTTTTTTTACGAAACAATTTGCGTTAAGTATAATAATGTGTATAAATAACATTCATTTTGAATTTATAAGATGGATTCCCTAGGATACTCCACGCAAGTAATGAAGGGTTAAAGTATAATACGTGACATAATAATAGATGTATATCACAAATGTAGTAAATAACATATATTTTATTAAACAGATAAAAACGATTCAAGTAGATCTTCTATTATTCTTTTTTCGTATTTTTTTAAAATCATTTTTATTTTTTCATTTAAGTATAACGTATAAAAATGAAGATAAAACTTGCCTGATATTGCAATAAAACATCTTTTCAGGGATAAATATTATCATTTATCATATCAAAAGAATTCAGTTATTAATAATGTATCAAGAATAGGACTCCCGCTTGGGATCTCTTAACTTTCCAAAGAAAGAATTCGCAAGAACAAAAAGGATGCGAAAATGGCGAACGCGTTCTTCCTCGCTGGACGCGTCGCTCCGCGGGGCATATTTGAAAATAGAATCAGGGAGCCGCGAAACTCGTCAAGGCCGGTAGGCCGAGAGAACGAAGGAGAGAAGAGTCTGGTGGATTTTCGTGGCCAGGGCTACGGAGCATCCGGTTGCCTAATGTTTTTGTCGCGTAAACGTGCACGAGAAAGCGCACGGCGAAGACTTTCGCTTTCGAAAGCTGCGCGCCACTTATCGGCGAACTTTCTTCTCTTCTTCTTCCTCTTCGACGAAGAGGTGCCATGTCGTGTTCGATTTCCGAACAGTGGCCCCCGGCGGAAATCTTGTTGTCAGTGATGTAAATAGAAGAACAATTTTTTTTTATCTGGATATATTTTGAAGTATCTATTATATGTTTGCATAGGCAGTTTTCCTCTATGTCGCAATGTCTTGTCGGTCTACCCAGATAAATTCCTTGGGGACCTAATCAAATCTCGATTCTCTCGCAGAAGTTGTGTTACATCTGTAAACCAAACGAGCGCGCGACTCTTCTGGATGGAGAGAAGAGAAAGCCTTTTGCAAATTGCAATTACATTTCCTACGTTAGATATTCCTAATGAAATATCTTTTTTACAATATTATCGCACAGAATTTTATTTACACCGAATATTTTATTTAATCAGATCTTTACAAATATTTATAATATTTCTATGTTAGGCGAGATAAAGATATTCAATATAATTTTTAACTTATAAAAATGATTGAACTGTAGTTATATTACATTTGCATATTAAAGTGAAATAAGTAATCAATGTAGGTGTGTAAATACGATATAATCGGAGAAAAAAATGCATCCTAAATTCCAAGCTACAAATGAGAAAATTGCGCAAGGCAAGACCTACAGCAATTACACACGTGTCACGTTAACTTTTGCTTTCGAAAACGTACGTTTCATTGCTAATCGTTGCTAAACAATCCTCTTTCTAGAGACAAGAGTCTAGATGCGATGCCATGAATGCCGGGTACGAGTATCATGCAAACATCGAGGGGAAAATCCACCGGAAATATCAGATATACACAATAGCTGCACATAACCAAAGACGAAGAAAATAACACTCATGCGGCACGTTAGTTCCCTCCATTTTATTTTTAAACGGCCAGAGTAAATGGTGACCAGTCACCAGTAAATTACCATTATTATTTCTGTAATCGTTTAACATTAGTACAGTCATATCTTAAAAATAGACGCGATAACACCAAATTTTAATTATTACACATTCCATAAATAATATACTTGAGTTTAAGTACGCTTGCATTATTTATTAGTCTTTTAATAGATTAGAAATTAAAATAATTGTCATTTATTAATTATTTTCCTTCAATATTTTTTTATATTTACATTAATTTTTCTATATTTATATTTAGTGTAATATGTTTTAAGCACAATATAAGTATTTAAAACTTTTTTATCGTGATACGATATTTAATTGAGTACAAAAATGAAATAATCTAATCTCGTAAATTATTCATTTTTATATTTATTCTATAATTAAGAGTGATGTAAGTGATAAATATAAGATAAGTTATTCTGAATTACGAGTCGAAAGCCGACAGAAAATCCAAGTGCTGATATCCCTTAGAAACTGAATAATATTTTTTACGATATAACACAATCTCTTAAACAAAATAGAAACCCAGAATAGATACGATAATATCATGTACATGCTGCATGATAAGGATACGCGAGGCCGAAAAAGAAAAGCGATTTTCCGGTGGAGCGAGATATCTGCGTGCGCATTACATTTACTTTTATCGAGGAAGCGGAGCCGCCTCGTTTATTCAGTTTATTGATACCAATGTTATTGCTAAGCTAACGTTGGGTGCGTCGCGTATCGCAAGCTATCCGGTGGAAAAACACTCGCGGCGATCGAAAGTGCATTAGCCGTGCTTCCTTTCCACGCAATCGAAGCGAAGCAATTAGAGTAGTCGACGTGATTAAAAGGCTCGTCGCGTGCATAATGCAGGTACCAGACATTTTCATTTACTCCGCACCGTCTCTACTACATTGTTGCATGACGAATAGTAATCGTCTAACGGGTTTTCGGACATTTATTCGTAAAAGAAACTCTGATGCACTTGGTCTTGATAGAATTATCCACCAAAAGATCGCAATCAATTTTCTTTTCAGAAAAGACAGATGTACAAGGCAATCCAAAAAATTTACAATTTTGAATAAAAATTTAATTCAAGTAAATTATAATGGAACGAATCGCAGGCACGGATATAAATCATACGAGCGTATCTGCAATCTGTTGGGCGATATTTGTCTTGAGACGCAGATGCATATCGTTTCAGCCTCGCATTATTTACCTACGCGATACATCCGCGAACGTAGCTCGATTCTGAAGAACCTTTACTATTGCTTTTAAGATTTTTTTACGTATCGTTTATCCACGGCCCGCATTCACTGAGACATCAAAACGTTCATTAAAAAATCCAAATTGTCGTAACATCGGGATCGCAATTTTAACTGCAAAACTACTATAATATATGCGCGTCTCATTTGACGTTCGTTTTGCCAGGATGTAGCATCTCTCATCTTTGCGACGTGGAAATGCATTCGCGTAGCGATGCATTTTACGCGACTAACTTTATTTGTTTTTTCCTTTTTTATCTGCAACCAGTAAAATAATCGGGAGATCATAATTTGAACCGTAATATTTCTTTAAAATATGTTGAGTCGGATTTTACTTTATGTATTCTGCTGGAAATAATTGCCTCCTGTGATATTCTGTAATTTTTGTAAAATTTCAGTATTTTCATAGTTGTGTGAAAACATCGCTGAATTAAGAAACATCTTTCAGTTTTATAAGTAAATCAAAGAAGCAGGCCTCGAAAATTTCTCTCAATAATTACATCAGAAATATAATACAATATATTACACATTAATCATTTTAATATTTACATTATTAAATTGAAATATAATACATATGTGTATAATATGAAAATAAATAATAATTTATTTGTATAATTGAACTTTCGTAAATCTAATCTACTCTCTAAATTTCTTGGAGTGAAATCTCACTTACAAAGAGTTAGAATACTGCCAGTATTAAAAAAAAGTGAAACATTTGCATAAGAATGCAAATTGTTATGTGAGATTTATTCCAAAGGAAAGAAACTTATTCCTTTTTTTGAAGTAAATCTCACTCCAAAAGTATGAAATATTACTCCAAAAAGAAGTGAAAATCTGGCACCCTTATTCAAGAACGCAAATTTTTCACTGATAGTATTTCACCTTTTCTGGAGTGAGATTTCATTCTGAAAAATTTAGAGAGTACTTTATTGTTCTCTTAATTAATTACACAAATTGCTTTGTTTATAATAAACCACAACAAAATGCAAGAATATCAAAAACATAGTTCGACAATTGACAATTTCTGAGAATAATGTACTTTGCGTATCGATCGCGAATACAAGGAAATTAGCCTCCATTTAATTGCACGAAGTAGTAGACACGTAGTACAAGGTAATTCGCGAGAAATGCATTATGTTAATACAATATCAAGTCTCATCTGTGACGAAATGTCATATATGTATAATAATCATGTGACTGGCAGTAGCAAATACATGCTATTTAATAAGGAATGGAATTTGAAAGTATAATTAGGACTATAATATATATATAGTTGAGTGCGCCTGTAAAACATTTGTTTTACTACATTTTGCATCTAATCGGCTTTTAAATAGAGATATCCATGTATTGAATTTATTCATAATATGCTAATGAAATATGACAATTGAAGCCATTATTATAAGGAGTCAATAGACAATATTATTACACATGATTAAATCGAAGTTAATGTAATTTTAGTTATTCCGTTTATATTTCTGCATTAATATCGTTTTGCACAATAAGACATTTTATTATTATGTTATTATACGTTGTACGCGTATAATATAAATTTTATAATAAGATTCTCCCGATTATGAAATTTATTTCTTTTTATTATGTACACATCATTAAGTAGAATTAGGAACGCGAGAATTTATAATCATGGTATCATCGTTTTATTACTTTATGGCAATCTCTAGAATCGTCATGAATCTTTAAGTAATGGTTTTACCTCTTTATCGTCATGTTTTTCAATATCTGCATCATGATTCTTCGTACTCTTACGTGATTGTTTTTACGGGCATGTCACATATTGTTTATGTTAGAATCAATATAACACGTACCATGGTAAAGTCAATCTTTGTAATTTTGTAGGTATATTTACTTGGCACGCTGTAAAGAAGTTTCTTGAGGGGATTTTAAAAGACACACTCTTTCTACAATTGCCATTTATCATTCATATTAGGTGTTAAACTTAATTCCTGCCGTTTTTCGTCTCCGAAATTGATTTGTTTCGAAGGGAAGATGAATGAATTCCTTAATCAAAGTAATTTCCTCCATTTTCTACTTTATTACTAATTAATAATACTTTATTAATAATACTTTGATTAAGGTATTTCCCTTCGAAACAAATGAATTTTGGAGACGAAAAACAGCAGGAATTAAGTTTAACACCTAATACTTATTACAAACTTCTTTGCGATTCGGCGATTACATAAAATTAAGTCATTCATCCATAATTCCCGAAACGATTATGAAACCGTAACGTGAAAGTTTATTGCGATAACATAGTGTGGATAATGGATTACTGGAGTACGTCCACGAATACTCGTGCATTATCGATTAGTGGAAAAATTGTGCTGTGACGCGGCGCTGCATCAAATATCTGCAAACGCGATAAAAAAAAAAGCGAATACTCGAAACGAATAAAAATCGGAACGCAATGAATCTTGGCTGTTCGACTTAAGTTTCCACCGTTTTTTCAATCGCATACGTGTGAATTCACGCGAATCAAATGTAATACGAGCGAATCACGTTTCTAAGGCGATAATTTATTATGACAAAGTCGTTCGGAAATAAAATAAATATAAGGAACGAAAGAAATAAAGAGAACCATGACTCATATGTACTAAAGCTCAAATTCTTTAATTTTCACGAGTTTATTACAAAGAGACTATTATATCCGAGTGATGCGTTCTCCAATGCAAACAACACCGGGCTCAAAACACAATAGTCCGGTTTGCGACGTGGCTCACATAGATGTACCAAGGCTTCCCGCCAATACTTTGCTCTCTTTTGTTGTATGTAAATTAACAGCCAACAACCGCGAATATGATATCGCGATACAAAGACGTCTTGCCACTCCTCGAACGCGTCTTGCACTCTAAGCGCGGAATTTCTCTCGGTATTAACTCTATGCAAATTTATTCTGTAAACACGCGATTGTAAAAATATGCCTCGACGCTGAAAATTTTGCCGACGAAACCGGACACGTCACGGTTTGCGAGCTCGACTAGAAATTGCACTTTGATCGCGCCTGAACAAGCTCTCCTACAATGCGAAATATTCCGCGCGCTCTTCGTTTCCATAAAGAAAAAATTTAAGTTGTACTCTTTTTTTAACTTCCACAGTTTTCGAACTTGTAATAGAGAACTCGTTCCTTAATATTTTGTAGTACGTTATACACGTGCGTAGTACATATCATGAAATAAAATTTCCTTCAAGTTGAACGCAATTTCTCGAGTGGTGAAACATTTTATCACAGCTATATCTACTACAACATTTTATGCGTTGTCTCCTCCTCTCACTCAACCAATTAGGGCTAATTAGTACTTGGACACGCCAGCTCGTTCTTCAATCGACACTTGGAGTTTGCGTTCTATGCAGACATAATAAATAAACGTCGGCTTATTTTATATTAATCACGCGATCGGCGTTTTTATTTTTCAAAGTGGATCGTAAAGTGCGTCGTTATAATTTCCCGGAGCAAAATTGACGTCGTAAATTTTAGTGTTGCAACAATGTCAGCAACAGCAAGTGATGAAGGATCTAGCGTTGTGCATATATACTATCAAACGATCACTAGATCACATTAATATTCTCCAAGTTCATATCTCAAATTCATGAAATATTAATGTGTATAGCTAAATACCGATATATAAGTATGGCTCTCTCGAGCAAAAATCAAAAATTGTTTACGGTCGTAAACTCGGCTTTTCGAGAGAATTTTTCTTTTACAAATTGATATTACATATTGTAATTTTTTGCAGTTTATTTCTTTGTAACTTCAAAATTCTTCTTTTTAAAGTGGTAAACCACTCTAGAATCAGCGGATGTTTTTAGAGCCCTTAAAAAGTTTGTAGGCAGTATCTTATGCGATGCTGAGCAAATAAAGCAATCGCACTCTCGATTCTAGAAGTACGCATGGTCCTAAAACGACAAGACTCAACAAGACAATTTTCACTGAAGACATTCCTTCCAATTTAATTTGTCATATTTCATCGCCATTAATGATTGCACCTGTATACACTTTCATCCGACCCAATTACACCTGCGCTCGTATAATGAGCAGACTCGAAATACACAGGATATTTTAGGACGTGTCTCAATATGATGTATCCTCGTATATTTTGCTTACATTTTAATTCGCAACTGTACGACGACGGTTTGAAGTAATGTTACGTAATAATTTTTCGTAACGTGCAGTGTGTAATTAAGAAGCACTTACATAGCTGGCCTTGCTCGTTTGACCCGAAATCGGCTTACATATATTAATAATAACATGTAAAATTACTGTCGCAAGATTCATTAAAATTGTTTAATTAAAAAGATTCGTTAAAAGTGTTTAATTAAGAAGTATAAAAAGATGTATTTTTTACACGCAAGCTTATATATGGATTAACATTATGAAATAAAATTAATAAAAAGTTTCAAGAACGAATAAAAATGATAAACTACTCTTATAAAATCGCATGTTAGAAATTAATATTTTTCATAAAAATACATCGTTATATATTATACATCACTATACATATACAAATATATACAGTATAGTTAAGAAATTTTTGTTATTATTATTTAAAATATAATTTAAATGATAATAATATCACCAAATGTAATTTTTAAAAAATATTCACACATATAAATTTATTTTAAACCCTGAAAGACTTTTAATTAAAATCAATTACATATAGAATACAGTCAATAGAATAAAATAAAGAAACTTTACTTTTCCATCTTCAGTCTGCTGTCAGGATGCGTTTACGACCATAACTGTCTCAGAGAACTTGTTTGAAAGATTCACTCTTATCGGTTGTCTTATCACCCGTGTGCCTTATCGCGTGTTGTTTAATATGGTAAGCTTCATTATCTCGTTATTATGCCGCCAGCGAAGTGAGCCGATGAAGTCGACACGAGTCTTATTGTCGATCTTATTTTAGTCAGCTTAGCGCTATTGTTATTATAATTAAACGGAATGCAAACGCAAGCTAGCATTTCGAGGATACAAAATATTCCTTACGACATGTCATTAATTAGCATTGACTCACGATTGACTTAAAAAATCCATAAGTTGCTATTGCGCACGAATAATTATCGAAATGTCAATTTTCTTTTCGTCAGAGATTTACCTTCAAATCACTTTACGAGAGTGTTTTTTTATGCCACAGCGTCTTACGTTATCACAGCTGTATAAAGCTACTTGCATCGAGATTTAGCGACCGTGAGTATCAATTTTGACATTCGTCTTGTGGTTACACAACGTTATCAATTTGTTATTTATGCCAGTTCTGCCTGTCACGCTTTATGTAACTAAAGTACGCCTGTATACCATTTGTGAGATCAGCAGCTTTAACAACACGAACTATTTACCGAGTCGCTTGTCAGTATATCAGCTTAGCTGCATTAAAATGTACACTGAGACAAAGGTTAAGACGCTATAAAGAAATCGGTAGTACGTTCGCGTACGCCGTACTCGTACGGCGAGCGTAATCTACGCCAAAACAGCCGGCTATCGAACACGCCTACATTTGTTCTCATTTCTGTCGCTCGAAACAAGCAGCGACTTCAGCAATGTATTCCACACTTCGCCCGCAATAAAGAGCGAGTCAGCGTAAAAGCATTCCACGAGTTGGCGACTCTCATTAACGGCGTCGTTATAAAACTGAATCATTATATCCCTAACGCGCGCCACTATCCTTTGTCTCAATGAAGTGTGTTTACTCATGTATTATTCCCAAATTGCAATTTCATCTGCCGTGTCTGATAAATGTGGGTCGATTTCTCCTTGACGAAAGTGTCGAAATATGTCTGACGAATTAAATGAAATTAAAATAACAGTTTCTTTTCTCCCAGGTTAATTTATTGTTGGAAGGGGATATATATCGCAATCCCCGCTAAGCAGCGCACTTGTGCACGTTCCAACACAAACGACGTAAGAAAACGGAGGCATTGTTCTGAGACCGTTTGCTGGAAATAGCGCGCGAATTCGACGAACGTGTCCCTTGTTCTCTCAATAACGCGCTGACGAACCGCCGCAGAAAGGGAGAGACGCCCGAGGGAGAGGGAATATTTCACTCGCATGCGTTTCATTAATAGAGTTTATGAAAACATGAGGCCGTCCTTGTCGAGTGCATCGCTCCCTCGCGCGTTAAATGGCAGCAGCCTTGTTCTCAAGGAGCGTTTGGTACCGAGTCTCCAGAACAAATTGAGTTAGCGGTGCTTTCTTAGCCACAGAAAACTCGAACTTTTAGAAACAGTGATATTTTCGGCAATAATATGCAAAAATAGCTCTAAAATACGAAATAATTTAATTAACATTTTATATCGTATATTTTTGTAATGTTTCTTGTAAACAATCTGTTAAGGTAATCACAAAATTTCTCCTTGATGCAACTATGCTAATTTTCAACGTTACGTGTACGC